CACACACACACACACACACACACACACACACACACACACACACACACATACACTTTTCAGCCTTTCTCTTATCTGATTTATAAAAAATAACTCCTCTGTCGTCTTGTTTCTGTTTCTGTCCTGCATAATAAACTCTGAGCTGTTCTCATGTGAAATCTAAATGTCCGTGTTTGGGATGTTTTCATCCAGATGTGGGTGAAGAATCCCTGCAGATGTTCAGTTTGTGGGGGTGTGCATTTAGCCCTCGTGTTGGTGCTGCAGAATCGATTTCTGGGGTCAGATTGTGGTTAATCTGCTCACGCTCAGTGACAGCCTTCAGTTTTCCTTTTGATGGAGTTGGTTGGAGTAGAGAACTCTAACACATTAACATCTGCTTAATGCTACTTATCTGGGTCCGCGTCTCAGGGGCAGCAGGCCAACAGAGATGGCCAGATCTCCTTCTGCCACCAACTCCTCTGGTGGGGACAAAGCCAGCATGTCCTGGGTCTAACCTTCCCAGCTGTATGTGGTCAGATGTCAAACCAGTGGTGGCTCCATCCTCAGCCTCTGATGAATGAGCTCCTCACTCATCTCTAAAGGTTCAGCCTCCAGCAGATGAAGCTCATTTCTGCTCCTTGTGGTCATAGCTGAGGGTAGATCAATCAGTAAACTAACAGCTACACCTTCACCCTCACCTTCGTCACAATAGACTGGCCACTGTTATCCTGAGCTGATCGTGTCCACCATCCGCCAAGAAAGAGTCTGACTCCACCGGTGTATGTTTCAGATGTTTGAAAGTGTTTAGGATCAATTTGTTTACAGTACCACCTGTTGGTAAAAGACTACAATGGTGATTTTTATGAAACATGGCAGAGAAGAAGACGATGACCTAAGGCAGCGGTCCCCAACCCCCGGGCCATAGACCAGTACTGGCCCGTGAGTCGTTTGGTACCGGGCTGCGAGTTGAGGCTCGGGTGTGATAGTTGGTTTTTAGCGTTGTTTTTTGTTATCATTTTTATCATTAACTCGGTTTCCCTGGGTCTTTTTCTGTGTGTTTTAAATAAATCGTGTTTTTTTGGTACCGGTACTGGTTTTACTTTGTTGTATTTATCCGCGACACCTTAAAGGCCAGTCCGTGAAAATATTGTCCGACATAAACCGGTCCGTAGCGCAAAAAAAGGTTGGGGACCGCTGACCTAAGGAGCCAATTAATTCCTGGATGTGGATCAGAAGGTGGATCCAGATGTTTGGTTAAGCTTTCAGAAACCCCGTCTCAGTGGGAAACCTCCCTGAATGAGCTCCACTCAGCTTCAGCTGCTTCTGAGGGTTACAGAGTTTTGACCAACATCCCTGTGCGCTGCTAACATCACTCGTTTGTCGCTGAAATACGCTGCTGTTATTATTTAGTGTCTACAGAGGTCAGGGCTCTCTGCACTTGCAGGCTGAAAAATGGGGCTCATCCAGGATTATCTGATGTTTCTGTAAAAGCCTTCTGTGTGGAAGTCCTCAGTGAGAAGGAAGGTTGTGAGAGCGGTTTGAAGTAAAGGAACTCAAAGAGTTTTGCTTTTCTCTGTTTTCCTACTCGTCAGATTTTGGGTTCGTTTGTGTTGCGGCTGCAGTAATCACAGAGACACGTGTTTGTTTGTAGGGAACAGATCCACGGCTCGGTTTACGGAAGCCATGAATCCAGTTTGTAGGCTAAAGCGGGGCAATTCTAGGATCAGAGCTTTGGGGGTGCTGAGCACCCAGAGAGCTGCCCAGCCAGGCAAGATAAACTTTACTCTGTCATCCTTAAATGTCTCCAGTTTTCCAGTTGTCTCTCTGACTGTCTCCTTGGTGCATTTAAACCCCTGTTCCTCCCTGTCCTTGTCGTCTGCTGTCTTCGTCTCCGTTATCAGTCATCATAATTTTACCATCTCTTTGCAAGTCTGTAAATTTCTTTATTAAATCTTAAGATTCTTAAATTCATCAAGTCTCTCTGAGCCTGGGTCCTCGTCACAAAACATGAC